TCTATAATATATACGATAAACTTTTGTATAATATATACGATAAACTTTCTATAATATATACGATAAACTTTCTATAATATACAATAAACTTTCGTATAATATATACGATAAACTTTCTATAATATATACGATAAACTTTTGTATAATACATACGATAAACTTTTGTATAATATATACGATAAACTTTCTATAATATATACGATAAACTTTCGTATAATATATACGATAAACTTTCTTTAATATATACGATAAACTTTCGTATAATATATACGATAAACTTTCGTATAATATATACGATAAACTTTCTATAATATATACGATAAACTTTCTATAATGTAAACGATAAACTTTCTATAATATATACGATATATATACACAAACTAAAAAAAAAATTACAATATTACACAAACGAACTCAAAAAAAAAAAGAAAAAAAAGAAACAATAAAGGAATAATAACAACAAACAATAACACAACACAACAAAAAATCTTCCTTATTTTACAAATATAGTTTAATTATTTGTAAACAATATTAAATTATATTGTACATTAAGTTATTATTGTTAATAATTGTTAATAATTATTTGTTAAATATTAAGTTAATATATTAAAACTAAGTTATATTGTACATTATTTAGTGAGGAACGAATGCTGTTGACTTACTATAGACTTTCAATAAAGTCTAACATAATGGTCTTTTTACTAAGCTTTTTCTTGGATAATTTTTTTAAATGATTAAATATTTTCTTTTTAACGTCAGTATTAAAATTTTACATCTCATATAAATTCTTCTTGATGATATTTATAAGTGGTTAATTGAAGACCTATGCACTTGAAGACACACCTATGCACTTGAAGACACACCTATGCACTTGAAGACACACCTATGCACTTGAAGACACACCTATGCACTTGAAGACACACCTATGCACTTGAAGACACACCTATGCACTTGAAGACACACCTATGCACTTGAAGACACACCAATGCACTTGAAGACACACCTATGCACTTGAAGACACACCTATGCACTTGAAGACACACCAATGCACTCTAATCTTGACAAAAAACTTTTTGAATGCTTAAATCAGATAAAAGATCTTAAATGCAATTTTCTGTGAAGCTTGTGTGAAGATTTTCTGTGAAGCTTGTGTGAAGATTTTCTGTGAAGCTTGTGTGAAGATTTTCTGTGAAGCTTGTGTGAAGATTTTCTGTGAAGCTTGTGTGAAGATTTTCTGTGAAGCTTGTGTGAAGATTTTCTGTGAAGCTTGTGTGAAGATTTTCTGTGAAGCTTGTGTGAAGATTTTCTGTGAAGCTTGTGTGAAGATTTTCTGTGAAGCTTGTGTGAAGATTTTCTGTGAAGCTTGTGTGAAGATTTTCTGTGAAGCTTGTGTGAAGATTTTCTGTGAAGCTTGTGTGAAGATTTTCTGTGAAGCTTGTGTGAAGATTTTCTGTGAAGCTTGTGGCTCAGTAATTAGTGAACCCAACATTTGTATACTGCTAACAGTATACCTATAACTATCACAATAGTATTAATATTTCTATATTGATAATTGACAAAACTCTTACTGAGTCCTCCACCTCTTCTCAGATTTTCTTTCATTACTGATATCTCTCAGAAACTACATATAGATTGCAAAGTTAACATCTGCTAAGGTTGCCTCATTTTATTGTGGTTGCCTCACTTAATTGTGGTTGCCTCAATAGTGATTGTGATTGTTTTATCACAAGCAGTGATTGTGATTGTTCAGTGATTGTTTCATCACAAGCAGTGATGAAACAATCACTGCTTGTTTCATCACTGCTTGTTTCATCACTGCTTGTTTCATCACTGCTTGTTTCATCACTGCTTGTTTCATCACTGCTTATTTAATTGGCCTGTATCTTCTAGTAATAAAATTTCTCCTTCAGACATGGTTCAAACAACACAATATAAATATAGTTAGACCTACTCTAGCTTTTACTACTGTCTCAATGTCAGTTACTGTCTCAATGTCAGTTACTGTCTGAATGTCAGTTACTGTCTCAATGTCAACTTGTGAAGTTAATATATGTGATTTGATCTCACCTTGACTAAATTTAAGTTTAGATACTGGTGTTTTAACTTAATGGTAGCACCTATTTTCTGCCTACCATTATTTTTCTATGAATTGCTACAAGTAAAGTAGAATTTTTCTAAAATATTTTTCAAATCATCACAACCATAATGTTTTTGTTTTTAAACCAAGAAGTATAACTGTTGCCAAATATTTGCATTTTTTTTTTTGACTCAATTAGGAATAAGTTAAAGGATTGTAAATAAATGTAAAACTTATTATCAATTAGGAAAATATATCAATTAGGAATAAACTAAAAGATTGCAAATAAAAACGGAGAACTTTGTATAATCAGTTTAATCAGAAAAAAATCTCAAATCTTTTTTGGTTTGTATTTGTTCATGATTGAAATATGACTTTCACCAAAACAATCTGCTAGTGTTTCTATCAAAATGACAAAATCATTTTGAAAAAAAAACACTTTCCGCTTTTTGCTCAGTCAACTTTACTACAGTTAAAGATTCATTATTAAAACTTCTTTTAGTTTAGTTAGTTAGTCCATTCCTTTAGTTTCTTGAAAATTGTTTTGTGCTTAACAAATGTATACTTATCAAACATTTTATGCATCTCTGCAATGTGCTGGATAAGTATCACTTCTTTAAGACCTTTTTAGTGCTTGGGTAAGTTTTAGTTTTAAATTTACAAATGCTATACTGTATTTACTAATTTACTAAAGGATACTTCAAAATAAATTTTGTAAAGAGTTGGCAAGTGTAATTCAAATTGTTTCATCTGATGACATGCAATATCTGTAATTGACTAACCAAATATGTATAGTTCTCAAGAAAAAAATTATCTTAAACCCAACATTGATTGAAGGCTCATAACATTGATTGAAGGCTCTTAACATTGATTGAAGGCTCTTAACATTGATTAAAGGCTCTTAACATTGATTGAAGGCTCTTAACATTGATTGAAGGCTCTTAACATTGATTGAAGGCTCTTAACATTGATTGAAGGCTCTTAACATTGATTGAAGGCTCTTAACATGGCAAATTACATATTTTCATGCAAACTGCAAACACAAACATAAGGCAAAAAAAATTTGAAAGATTTCAAGGGTATAATATAAAAGCTTCTATTAGAGTATAATAAAAATAACTAATCAATAAATATAAATAACTAATCACAGATTTTATTTTTTTTAAATAATTTTTTTATATATATACTTGACTTCTATAAATTTTTAACTGTATCATATGAGAAGTGAAATTCAAAAAGTGCTAAGTTGCAAAAATGAAAATTTTGAGTTTATCCATTTCCAAATTTTATATACTGAAATCTATCAACTATTTAAATATTAAATCTAATAATATACAGATAATAATAGATACAGAAAATATCAATGCTGTTTTTTTTGGTTCAGTTTTTTGTGAATTTGTCAAAATCAACTTACTTTTTACTGATTTTGATATGGTCTAAGTAACACTAATTTAGTAATAATTTTCAAATAAATAATTTTTTAAAAACTTTTTGACAAAATGTTCCATCATATCAATTGACATGATTTTTTATACCTAATGATATCAATTGATATTGATGAAATATGTTGTCAAAAAGTTTTTAAAAAATTGTTATTTATTTGAAAATTATTATTTCATTTCTTTTAATTTTAAACTTTACTTTAACGAAAAAACTGCTTTTATCAGGAGGAAATAGAAAAGAAGAGGGGGAGAGGATGATAATTCTTGGAATTTTTTTCAATCATATTTATTTTTATCAATCATATTTAGACTGAATATTTTGCTTTTCTTCAGGACTTAAATAAAAATATTTGTGATAATATTAATTGTAATATTTTTTACTTTTTTCTAACTTCAAACCTATTTAAAAAAATTTTTTTTTTTTTAAACATCTTCACTTCCAAACAAGGCTGCAAGCAACCACTATTAGAGTTGGAAGTTACTGGAAAAAAAAGAGAAAGTTTATAAAGCAAGATTAAGACGACTAAGCGGATTGCAAATATGAATCAGGAAAACAAGATAAAGGGAGCAAATTCCAAAGAACTGATGTTTGAGGAAAAAGACTAGATGAATAAGAATTTTTAGGGTACTTAGGAACGGTCAGAGTAAAAGGATGAGACTTAATTAAATGAAGAGTAACACAAGAATGAATTTTAGTAGAAGATATACTTGCTCTTAAGAGCATTATAGTACTTATAGAAAAGAGAAAGAGAAGCAACATTATGACGATGTTACAATGGTTGGAGGTTGGCTGCAAGAGCAGGTTCAACTATGTTTACAATGCGTTTTTGCACCTGTTCTAAAAATGAAAGGGCATCATTGGAAGATCTGCCTCATAATTGGCAACAGTATTCCATACAAGGACGGATTTGAGATTTGTGGAGATAAAAAATAGAATCCGGATTAAGAAAGTGGCGAGCACAATAAAGAGATGCAACCTTAGCAGATGCTAATTTTGCAACCAATTTGATATATGGTTTCTAAGAAAGATAGGAGGTAAGAGATAATCTTATATGACTCGTTGAGTACCGTTTATAAATATACAAAGATCTAGATTATTGCTATAAAAATTAGCTAAAAAAATTGAATTTTATATGAGTTAAAGTTCACTATCCAAGAATAAATGGTAGTATCATCTGCAAACAATGCCACCTTAGGTGCAAGAATATCTATAATTTGTTAAGCTTATCATTGAAAGTATTAAAATTGAAGCTATTTTGAATTGACTTGCATTTCTACTGATGAGATCAGTATTAACTGTGTGATAACCAATTCTAGAATAGTTATAGAGAAAATTAATGCATACTGTCTTATTTACAATTTCATTTGCCTAAATACAATTCAAAAAATCTTTAAAGGCCATTCCCTCACCCCTCTCCCCCTATTGATCATAGTTTAATTGCAGATAATTATCCTGGTTATCATAATAATAAAACAAATACCATTGAATAAGTTTATTCCAACGAGGGCTTTTAGCCCCATTGTATGCCGTTGGAGTTTCAAAAGTTTGCAACCCAATTCTCACTCGACAGTATGGATCCATTCTTGTCAAGTAACCATAGTTTTTAACAAGACGTGCCTACAATTTTAATAATGTAAAAACAATTTGATTAATTTAAACTTTTAAACAAAAACAAAAAAATAAAGAGTCTAAAAAGAAAACAAAAAATTTAGGTTATATAAAAGTTTTTTATAAAAGTTAAAAAAAAGTTCTAAGAAAAATGTTATGCTTTGTTTATTTATGTTAATCTCATCAAAATTTTTTATTGTTTTAAATTAAAGAAATTTTAGAGAAATTTTAGACAACCATATTTATCCTTGACAGATGTTAACTTCATCCCTGTACTGGCTTGTAGTAGACCTTCAATACATGATTTGAGGGGTAAGAAGAAAATTTTAATTGACTGACAATGAACTTTACCTCAATAAATCGGCTAATATAGATTAGCATAAGTTTAGAAACGACTTGTGATTATAATTAAACTTGTTTCTCAAGCAGCAACTTTGTTCACCAAGATTCATGTTTCGACATTGTAGAGTTGAAAGAGGGTTGTAAAAAAATAAAATTTAAATTAATAAAAAATAATAGTAATAATAATAAAGAAGCCTCCATAAGTGATCGACCAAAACAGAAAAAAGTTCAAAGCCAAAATAAATTGAAATTTAAAATACTCAAATTTGGTGCCAAAGCCGAAACCGACATTTCAGCAAATATTTTACTGAAACCTAATACTAAATACTAAAATTTGGGCAAAATTTTATTTTATTAGAAAGTTTTATTAAAGAATCAATTTTACGTTTGTTGTTTTTTATGCTTGTATTATATTAGAATTAATTACATGTGTCTCCCAAATTGAGATTTAATGCATAAGTTGTCGATAAAAGTTTAAAGCGAAATTTAACAACTGGCAGATTTTCTCTGCAAAACAAAATTTTTTTGAGGTATTTTGTGAAAATTCTCAATATTTTTGTGAAAACTCTCAAAATATATTGTGGAAATTCTAAAAAATAACTGTTTTTCTAAATTAGATAAAAATTGGTTTTTGGTTTGTTTTTAACCGAAATTTTGTGTTTTACCAAATTTATAAAAAGTACCAAAACCGAAATTTCGGTATTGGTTCAAATTGAAATTTCAGCCAAAACCGTTGCCGAAACAAAATTTCGGTCAATCACTAGCCTCCATAATTTTAGTGGCCCCCTCAGCCTTGGAGTGGTCAATAACATCAAAAAATTAATAAAAAAATTTCAATAAATGTTGAAACCACCCATTTTTACAATATATTTTGCTTCATGATATAATTTTTTAAGGATTAAAATGGATAGTTAAAACTTTAAATATTTAAAAAGAGATGTTGATCTATACATCCAAAATTGGTATACACTGAAGTGGATTTATTACTTCATCAAAAACAGACTCTAGAAGTTTAGAGACATAAATTAAAAGGTCACTGAATTATGTAATTAAGATTTGAATTTAGGTAAAGAAAACTCAATATTGTCCTTTAAGGTGGCACACAACTGAAAATAAGCAAGTTTATTGAAAAATATCATTTTTTAGATTTTTTGGTATTTTGATTCTATAATCATTCAATAAACATATAAAAAAAAATTATTCTCAAAAAAGATTTAATATCATTTTAGTACATGACAGTTAAAAATAAATTACCTAACAACACCTTAGCAACTGTCAGTCATATGAGTTTTTATGAATTAAAAACAGTAAAACACCATTACAAACTTGATTTTAATGTGTTATATGCAGACTCTTGTTAGTTTTCCGTTTTAAAAGTCATATTTAAGAAACTAAATTTAAGAACAGAAGTGTTTTTGGTCTGTTAATGTTAGTCTTTTATACTGTAACTTTTCTCTCATTTTGTACCAAATAATTTTTAAAATGATTTTAATTTAGTTAGAATAAAGTTGTTTATAAATGAATAAACAAGGAAATAAAAGTAAACAAAATTTATCAAGAAGGATAAAACGAAAATAGAATAGTGTTGTTGGAAATAAAAAATCATCTTCTCCCTCCATCTCATCATCGTCCACAACTCAAGCAGCTAGTTGCTGTTCTAGTGAAAGAAAAATCAAACTCAACTATTTAAATACATATGATTCTGAAAAAGATCATTATTTTGTTTTTATAAGTTTTTCAATTCTTAAAGAACTAATAGCTGAAACTGCATGCAACAACTTTCAACCATTACTTTTAACAACCATTACTTTCAACCATTACTTTTAACAACCATTACTTTCAACCATTACTTTTAACAACCATTACTTTCAACCATTACTTTTAACAACGATTGCTTTTAACCATTACTTTTAACAACCATTGCTTTCAACCATTACTTTTAACAACCACGGCTTTCAACCATTACTTTTAACAACCATTGCTTTCAACCATTACTTTTAACAACCATTGCTTTCAACCATTACTTTTAACAGATGTTGATTCCAGTAGAAAAGGATTTGCACATTTGTTGCAATTAAAATGTGAACACTGTAAAAGATTCAACACATCAAATAAGTCAATAAATGCTAAATTTGATGCAGTAACAGCTAAATCACCGTTTAATGTTAATATTTGTGCAATAATAGCTTTTCGAGAAGTAGGCTGCGGTTATGGAGCTATAAAAACATTTTCATCTTGTATGAACTTAAATGGATCCCTAAGTGCTCCTAACATATGATCTCATATGAAAGAGCATAAAAAAAAAATATGTAAGTTTTTTTTCTTTTTCACTAAATTGTAATAATAAATGCTTGCTAACAAAAAGCAACTGCCGAAATCACTAAAAAACAACTCCATTTTGATTTTATTTTTTCACCATTGAAACTCGATTGTTAGTCGTTAAAAATCACGTTAGTACGTCACAACAACTTTAGAATATCTACTTCGATTTTCATGTAAAAAAAAGTCGTGAATAAATAGTTAAGTTTTAATCAAGTTTTTTTAATTAGTTTTGCAAAAACAGTATAATAGCATTCGGTTGAAAGACGTCGTTAAAAAAAAATTATTAAGTAATAGTTTTAAATAGTTTAGAACTTATAAAAAAGTCTTACAGGGCTCGTATTAAGAGTATTGCAATCGCGATTACTCCACACACTTTTGTGATTAGTTTTTTCTTAAAAAAATCTTTTCGCGACTTGTTTTTTTTTTTGATTGATTAATTACTTTTTTTCTAGTTTAGCATTTTTTTTTAGCAATTCTTAAAAGTAATGTTTTTATCATAAAGAACGTCACACAAAATTTATTATTCTGAATAGATAGATGAATAGATGATTTGCTCTTTCGCGCGGAGATTTTCTTTCAACGTAAAACATTTTTGAATTTATATTACTTTAAATCTCTGCGTGGAAAATTTTTACAAGGTCGTTAAAGCGAAAAGTTGAAAAGTTGGTTTTTATCTTTGTTTATCAAAACTTCACGCTTAAAATAAGGCTTAAAAACGTTAGAGCAAAAAAATTACTGACTTTTATTTGCTTTTTTATACTGTTTAAAAAAAAACTAATAAAAAAGAATTAATTGTTATTATTATTAATTCTAATAATTCTTAATTAATATATTATTAGCTAATTCTTTTTTATTAGTTTTTTTTTTCAAACAGTATAAAAATGCTAATAAAAACCAGCAATTTTTTTACTTAAACGTTTTTAAGCCTTATTTTAAACATGAAGTATAATTCGATTTATTAAACCAAGTTTTTTTGTTTTATCTTTTATTGGAAAACTTGAAATAGAAAAGTTGAATAAAAACATCAACCATTTAAATGAAAAACTTAATTATATTTAAACTTTTATTAGTCCTTTATTCAAGAAACAAAAAATTATAAAAAACGTGGTATCTAATTTTTTATTAAGTTTTTAGCTATGTTTTTTGATTTATTGACGATAATTTTTTCCCCCCATTACCGCACATCGGCGCGAGCTATAAGAGAGAGGGGGTGGAGAAAGAGCAAAAAAAAAAATTTTTATCGCGATTAGATTTTTTTGCGTTAATTCGAGCAATGTCTTAGTTTAATTCCTAATAAAATGTCTATTCAACCTTATCAATTTGAACCAAAAAAATATAGCAATTTAACATAAATGTTAATTTAACTAAAACATTTTACAATAATTATTTTTTTTATCAAGCAAAAATGAGAGTAACCGTCACTTTTGAAACCATAAAAATTACTGAAATAAATTTATTTTTCTACTAAGGAAATATTTTAAATAAACTTTCATGTGTCTAAGTCAATATTCATTGACTAAAAAGAGTTTAAAATTTGACTTCTATTCATTTTTAGCCGTGGAATTGCCCTTATAACACAAATATATAAATTAAAATTGTAAAAAAAATTTAATATACAAATATATTTTCACAAAATGCTACAAAACTTATTCTTGTAAGTAATTATGTGTTAGTTGAAAAAAAACTACTTCACTTTTAAATTTAATTACCAACTAATAAGTTTGCAATAATGACATTTTGTCTACTTTGTTTAATTTGACGTACAAACGTTAGTTTTTTGAGGCAGTAGAGACGTACAAATGTTAGTTTTTTGAGGCAGTAGAGTCAATAAACTTTGGACAAGACGCATTTTTTTTAATCGAAGAAAAATGTTTTTTTGAAAATTAAATTTGTTAGTGTGTGTTCATTATTACATTTTAGAAAAAATAATATACATCAAACATTTTTTTTTTATGCTCTTTCATATGAGATCATATCTTTATAGCACTTAGGGATCCCTTTAAAAAGCATATCTGAAAATGGATTTCAAAAATTAAACAAAACTATTATGGAAGCTTATAAAAATGCTGCAGAGAAGAGTATGTTATTGGCGATTAAGGACTCTAAAAAAGTCGGTATTGCTCAGGATATACCATGTGTAAGAGTTTCAATTGACGGTACATGGCAGAAACACGGTCAAAGTTCATTGCATGGTGTAGTTACTGCGATTTCTGGTGATAAATGCATTGATATTGAAGTTTTGCCTAAGTACTGCATGGGCAGTAAAATGTGGAATAGTAAAAAAGGAACTCCGGAATATCAGTGTTGGATAATTGATCATCAATGTGAAATAAATCATAAATCTT